AACAATGAATTTTGTACCTTCAGATTTCCTTTCTGAACAATAATAGTCTAGATGGTTTAATATATATATATATATGTATATGTATATGTATATGTTTGTGTGTGTGTGTGTGTGTGTGTGTGTGTGTGTGTGTGTGTGTGTATGGGTTAATAACCACCACATGGGTGCAGGTGCTCACGGATATTAGCAGAGTGCATGAGATCCCGTGGAACTACAATTACAGGTGAGACACCTGATATGGACTCTCATAACTGAACTCTCAGCAAGAACAGTAAGTGCTCCTAACCACTGAGCAGTCCAATGGCCCCTCAAGATGACTTTCAAAGTCAGGCAAGCTGCAATCTTGATAGTGAATCAGCTACATTTAAAATGTCCCCCATAGTTTTCTGAAGACCATGTCAAAGGAGGGCAAAACATACTTCAGTATCACATCTGGTCCTCTCTGGGGTACAAAGCCTCTATTCCTTTGCCTGCAGATGTGGAGGGGAGAGTTCTAAGAACCTCTAAGCAATGACTCCTAAAGAGAGGCAAGCCCAACTGTTCTATATTAAGCTTCCTGTTTTCAATAAAGACTAGATGTATTCAGAAGGTCCTAAGACTTTCAGATGCAACTGATCAAGACTCTAATAGAAACCAGAGTCCCAAGGCATCTGCATTTTGATGCCTTGTGTCCTATGAGAAGTTGGAGCAGATCTTGCCAGACACACATGATGGAGAGAGGACACTTTCAAATGTGTTAAAACCAAAGAGACTGCCTTCTTCACCACCCCACTGGTCCCAGGAATGCATGGAGCAGAGCATCTGAAACTTGGCCATCAGTTAAAACCAGGTGTGGAGAGAGTAGCCATGATTCTGAAGGTAACAACTGCCCTGACTAGCTTTGTGTCAACTGACACAGGCTAGAGTCATCAAAGACAACGGAACCTCAATTGAGAAAAAGCTTCCATAAGGTTGGGATGTAGGCAAGCCTGTAGAGCATTTTCTTGATTAGTGATTAAGGTGGGAAGGCCCAGCCCATTACAGGGAAGGTGCCATCCCTGGGCTGGTGGTCCCGGGTTCTATAAGGAAGCAGGTTGAACAAGCCGTGAGGAGCAAGTCACTAAGTAGCTCTCCTCCACAGCCTCTGCATCAGCTCCTGCTTCCAGAATTCTGCCGCTTGATTGCCTGCCATGACTTCCTTTGATGTGGAAGCTTAAACCCTGTCCTCCCCCATTTGGTCATGGTGTTTCACCACAGCAATAGTGACCCTAAGACAAAATTAGCTGTTAACCAAACATGTGCGTCATCACGCATAACTGTCAGCAGAGCGCTTATGCCCCAGCCTCAACTTACCATGGATCCCTTTCTGGCTCAAATGTCTTTGGGTTGGGTCATCCTATTCAATTCCCAGGGAGAAGTAGGGATATCCAGCTATTTTACTATGGGTCACAAATAGAAAAACAGACTGGTGGTGTCAAAAGTGAGTGAAAAGAGAGCCTTATATCCAAAACAGTTTTCGGTTTGAGGCTGCCTGACTTTTCTGTCCGACCCACAGAACATACAGACAGCACCAACGCAGATGCTGGTCCTTCCTTTACCAGACTCCCGTGGACCTGCAACGGTCGTTGTCGCTTTGGAGGAATCGTCTTCAAGCTAAGTGGGTATTTAGACCATCTCCATTGTCCAGTGACGAATTCAGTTTAGTCCAGCTGAGGGACAGGCTCCTGTCCACACACTTGGGCTGGAAGGAAGGCTGCCAGCAGAGCCTTGGCTGTGGCAGCAGCAAAGGCAACAGCCTGGAGCACTTCTGTAAGAGACCATCTTCTCCCACTCTGCCATTAGCCAAACAAACCTTCCCAAAGTACTCCTTAGTGTTGAGAGAAAAGGCAGCAGCAAAGGTGCAAACTCAGCAGCCGGGCAGGAGAGAGAAAGACCCACTACTGGGCAAGATGCAAGAGGTATCTGGTTAGCAGGGGAACCTGCCTAAGATCAAAATAGGTCCCCTGAATGTGGGTGACAATTGTGTGGCTTGGGCAGTCTGTGGGGCTAGGATTTATCCTTAGTGCTTGAATTGGCTTTTCAGAGCCCATTCTCTTTTTGGAGGGTTACCTTGCTCAGCCTAGATATAGGGAGGAGAGCCTCAGTCCTGCCTCAAGGAGATGTGCCTATTTGTTGCCTCCCCGTGGGAGGCCTTACCCTCTCTGAGGAGTGGATGGCGGTGTGGTGGGGGAAAATGGGGGAGCAGGAAAGGGAAGGGAACTGGGGTTGGCATGTAAAATGAGAAAAGATTGTTTTAAATTTTTTTAAAAAATAAATGATAAAAAAAAGAGGTGTCCCGGACATAGCAAGCAGGAAATGTAACTGTTGCTGCATAGTAAGTTTACAGAGGGAAAGGAACTTCCCTGAATCTGCCTGCCACCAAGAGGTGACCCCTACCCCTTTAGGGTATTGTGATGACTGGGTAAGGCCGTGGCTCCCCTGAAAATGTGCATGTTTTGCTCACATTGAAATAGTTACGGTTAACTTCCTTTTAAGTGACATATGTCCACATGTGGAAGGTAAAGGATAATGTCTTGTGATTTTTAGGCACACCCCTAAGATCTCTCAGTACAGCCCTGGAAACAGTTTTGAGAAGGTGGCATGGGTTCAGCTGACTGCACACCAGGTCTCAAAATGATGAAACAGCCATGACCCAAGGTCCATCGCCAATCTTATTTTCATTGTTCAGAATAACACTTATTCCTCAGTGCCTTAAAAGCCAGGTCCCAGGGTCCCAGGACTGAACTGCTGGATACTCAAAGACTGAGACAGGAGAGCATTGTGTACTTTAGGAGAGCCTGGGCTCTCTGGTGAAAAGAGGTCTAACTCAGTGAGGCTGAGTCCTACAGTGTGGCAGGGTCCTATTAGCCCACCTCTCAGGAGCATGACCCAGGGGGCCTGCTGTGAGGTAGAGACAAGCCAGCCCTGCCTTGCGGAGCAACTCCCTTTGGTAAAGGGCCTCCACTCCTGAGGTAGAAGGGAGGAGCTGTAGCTTGGCTGCTGGCATGCTTGCTTGGCTAGCACACATGAAGCCCTGAGTTCCATCCCCAGAGCCACTTTGAAACAGATGTGATGGGGCACACCTGTAACCGGGGCATTCAGGAGATGGAGGCATGAGCATCAGGAGGGCCATGTCATCCTTGGCTCCCCAGAGAGCCCAAGGCCAGCCTGGGCTGAACGAAATCCTGCCTAAAGACAAAAGCAAAAACAAAACTGGAGCAAACAAAGATAAGGGATTGTATCTGTCTTTCTTTCTTTCTTTCCTTCCTTCTTTCTTTCTTTCTTTCTTTCTTTCTTTCTTTCTTTTTCAACAGGGGGAATTTTCTCAGAGAAATGACTGCAATTACTGTGGAAATTCTGGTGTCAAATACTAGGTTCCAGGGAGGAATGAGAGATGATAGGCCATGGCAGGGAATGGGCAGTGGAAACCTGGGAGGTAATATAGAGTCAGGCCACACACACACATGCTGGGAACTTGGGCAGGGGATGCAAAACACCTAGTGAAAGTGGCACCTTGGAAAAACTGGACCATCAGAAAAGATATTGATGTAGACAGGATAAACCCAGTAAGAGAACCATCTGAGTGGTCATACTGACCTGTCCCCTGTCTGTCTGTCTGTCTGTCTGTCTGTGATGTGTCCACACAGGGCCTGCCTGTGTTTGGTGAGCTCTGTCCCTGGAGAGTCTCTGCCTAGCAGGAGAAGGGGCCAGGAGTCTCCGGAACCTTAAAGAAAACCATCAGCCCAGAAGACAAGCATTTTCTGTGACTTGTGAGTACTGGAGGTGAGGAAGACTTGAGCCACAGACCAAAAGAAAGGT